GTTTCGTTTTCGAGACTTTGCAACGGTAATATTCATTGTATCGGCATCAGAAGTCACCACGTGGATTGGTTTCCCCAAGGGGAATAACTTCTCTACCAGATCGAGATCAAACTTAGCAGAGAGGGGGTCAATGTTTGGGGGAGAAAACCTGACCACCACGTGGAGGACAACGATTCGCTATTGGGAGAAGACCCGAAACAATATTTTATGGAGGTCTACCTTGGAACTCTCCAAGGAGGAAGACAACCATTTTCTCAGGAATTAAGCCTTCATTTTGGGGAAGAATGTCCGAGTTCGATATGCTCGAACCCGACATTTCCGACCTCTAATCCGACCAAGGTAACCGTCTGTTGTGACCCCTGTCGGAACCTAAACCTATAAATAGAGGGCCTCATTTCACCATTAGGCATCAGATTTTTCCTCAAACTTAATATTGAGTCCGAGCTACTTACTGACTTGAGCGTCGGAGATTTTGCCCTCTTGTGCAAGTTTTCCCTTAACTTTCAGGTCGGAGCAAGGACTGGGTTCAAACTAATTTGAGGTTGTGCAATTTCTTGCATAAACAAACATGATGACACGTCTCTTGATCTCATCAATCAATTAGATTTACAACTAAACGTAAGAACCAACGTATTATAACACGACCTCAATTTCTATGACTCACAAATAAGACCTATCTTATCTATCTAAAATCCTTAACACAACCAAATTCTCTTTAAAATATTATTCGCACGATTATTGTTCGAGATAATTATTTTCTATATTCTTATACTAGAATTCACATATATTATTCGATCGCTAGAGTCGCTTCAGCAATCATTCCATCAATATTAGTTGGATACTATAGTAGTTTGCCATCCTCACAAGTTACCGAAATCATGTCAGATCGATTTCCTCAACGTTTACACAACTCAATTCAATTCATAAGTTCCACTTTCCCCATCCATCCCTTTCAACTTCATTCACTCTCAACCGCATACCCAAAAGACAACAATAATTAAGAAAATCTCACTTAAAAGAAGAAAGAAAGAAATTAGAAAGAAAAGTGATATCTTTGAGAAAACAAGTCCATTTCAAATCAAAACCATGCCACTAAAATGGAACTTTATATTCCACTTTACTTTTCTTTTTCCTTCTTCTCTCTATTTACCTTTTTCTTTCTTTCTCCTTTATGTTTGTGCCATTGTCTGCAAATAGCTTTAGTTCTTCAGATTGTGCATTAAAAGCTTGGAATATAAGCTTGGCATCCAATTGTGTATGCATATGCCACCCATCATTTTATTGAAGGTTCCTTCAATTCTCTTTACTTTTCCCTCTTTATTTTCAAGTGGCAAACACTAGAGATATATCCTTTATACTTTGAGACTTTAGAATAAAAACAAACCACAAGCAACCCATTTTGAGTTCCTCTCCAAATTCAAAGTTTTTTTTTGTATATATTTCTTTCACTTCTAGCGCTACTATATGTATTTTTTTAACAAGAAAACAAAAGATGGTGGCAATTGATGCTACTAGAACATAAGAAAGTGTAGATGATAATTCTAAGATATATCCACCGTGCAAAGTATCCACGAGCGTCTCTACCTTCTAGTGAGGGTAATAGTAAGTTTGAGATGGCTATTCACTATTTTTGTAACGTTATATGATGTTCACTCTATTAAAGGTATTAAATTTTTATCGACATTTTCATGTCTATTAATTAAGCGTTAATGAGAAGGGTGAGTTGACATTTCCAAAGTATCGCCAAAAAGTTGATAAAATATATAAAAAAAGAACAAAATATCAGTAATATATGAATATGATATTAATATTAATAAATTTTACCTTATCTAAAAACAGCTAAATGCTTATATGTTATTTTAAATGTTTATTATGATTTTTCTTATAATTTTTTAAAGAAATATCTATGATCGATATCAACATTTTATCGATATTTTCGTCGAAATTTCCATAAAATTGAGATCTCGACATTGACATTAAGAATCTTGACATTTTTCACTTTGTTACGATAAATGTAATTTTTCTTTTCTTTTTAGGACTTTGTATATGTTTTTATTTTTTATTTTTCAAGAATATATAATTATATTGTCCCTAAGGGATTGTTTGAGTGGCTTGAGACATCAAAGGAATAACCTTGAAGTCTTGGGTTCAAGCCATATGTGACGCAACTTCGATCAGGCAATGACTCCTTGCTACGGGGACGAAGACAATGCCCATAAACCAGTATAGAGGCATAAAAACCAAAAGGGTCGTGTAGTATATGAAGAATCGAATATTCTACCCTTGATATCAATACCTTAACTGTTAAGTTATGTTTATGTTTACACGACTTGGAGTAATACAGTTCACTACTAAGGTTTTAAAGAAAATTCAAACCTATTATCTTTTAAAGAGRGTAAAAATGTCTTTTAACTACGAAGTTAAAGTAACGACACATCTTTAATTAACCAATGATCACCCGACAGTGGTAGCATAATAAGCCAATAATTTCAATATGTGATTAAAAGCTACACATTCACGTAGTTGACTTTAACAGACTGGAATATAAAAAGAATAAAAAACGAACAAGAAAAACCAAAGAGCAATAATTATGTTTTTTTTTTTAAAAAAACACGACTTGAAAAATCTGAAGAACCTCAAAGAAAAAAAAAGAAAGTAAAGAGAAAACCGTACAAAAAACTAAAAAAAAAATGTTGAAGCATTTTGCTGCAAATGTGACCCCAAAAAGAGAATCTTCTCTCGTCTCTCCTCTACGTCTATATGTATAGAAACGCACCTCCATTGCCATTTCTCTGAGTGCATGGCTCATATCAAAAGAAGATTTGAAAAAGAAAAAAAAATCTCTCTCTCTTTCTCGTTTTCTTTCACTATCTCTACGTTTGTTGAGGGGAATGTTGTTCGGTTCGATGTCTTTCTGATGAAACTTTACCGACCACATAGCTAAAGAACGTTTCGTTTGAATGATATCGGACCAGGCTTCATTCCCTTCAACGGAGTGAGATTGAAGTTTCATAAGGAGGGATACAATTTTACTCTTCTTACTTTTTATGTGTGTATTGTTTTAAGATGAATGAAGGGGAAATTGTTCATCCTTCTTTCTTCTTCGCTCCGCTCTGCTTGCGTCTACTCGTCGCTTTTATCTTTCGAAGCTCTATTGCCATTGTTGAAGGTGACAAGAAGAAGAAGTATGAGCTATTTTTGAGTTGAAGATCTTGTTCTCCCTTTTTCTTTTTGGTCTCAATTAGAAGAAGTAATTTTATGAGTTTAGTATTCACTTCCTTTGGAAAAAGGGTATTGAATGTATGATAGAGAAAAACATGTTTTTTTTTTCTTTCCGGCCTTCTCTCACATGAAGAGAAACAGGCTGGCTTTCTTTCTTTTCTATTTTTTTACTTAGGGAATTTAAATGGGTTGCTTCTCTATCAGAAATATATATCTTAATTAATTAATTTGTAGTTTGTATATTGACCGCTCATTCCTTGTTTTTCGTTCTCAAGTTTTATTAAAAAAACTTGAGCATCTGACAATATTTACGTTTTTTGTTTCTCATCCTTTTATAAACATTCTTAAAATGGTATAGAAATATTCTTTTTACCATTTTCAATTTGTTCAAAAATATAAATAAAAATATTGTTTCATCATTCTTGAATCAAAGAGGGTTGGAACATGTAATTCTATTTTTCATATTAAAAAAAAAAGAGAAAATAGAAACAAGAAACAGGAATACCGAAAGGATCATACATTTCTATTTTATCCCATAGTTATTGATGAATATAATTTGATGATGAATCGATTATCTATAGTCATAATAATATATTAACGTACATATATTGGTTAGGTGTAATAATTAACTTATGGTTTCTAATTTTTGCTATATACATGACAGCTTTGGTTTGAATAAGATTAACAAAAAAAAGAAAAAAAAATCCATTGTAAGTAACTTATAAACAAAGATGAAAAGAAAATTTGCCAAAACCATCGCTCACGATAAGATATATAATTCTAAAATTTTAAATTGTTTGAATTTTTTTGAAAACGTCCTTTTTGTGATTTTCAAAATTTGGTCCATTTGTTTAGAAATRTTTTTCAAAATTTAGAACAAGAAACGAGATGAATTATCAAATAAATATGTTTTTCAGAAAAATGAAAAGGGAACAAGAAACAGAAAGCAAGAACGTTCCCAAATGAAACTTAACTTCTAATATAAAATTAAATTGTCCCCGAAGATGATACCAATTTAATTTTACTAAACTTGTAATGGTAGCTAATGGAAAAGTCTATATAAAAGATGTAGGAAGCGTCATAGTCTCCAAGATATTAAACACTTCACTCTTCCGTTCCTCCGTCTAATGTTAATGTCAACTCTTTGAATATATGAAAATGGTGATGAAAATATCTACATGTGAATGAATAAATTACAACTTTGGTTAAAAATATATTCACTGAACTATTTAAATTAAATGTACTCGACACAATATAACTCTTTCTTTGATACCCCATTGATGCGTTTTCAGAAAACCGATTGATGCGTGGTCAAAATATATTTTTAGAATTTTATTTAAATTTTAGGTTAAAATTATTTTTGTTTATGTACTTTTAAAATATCTATTTTAGTTCTTATACTTTTATCTTTAGTTCATTTTAGTCCATGTATTTCAAGTGTTTGTTTTGGTCTGAGAATTTTGGTCCAGATTTAAAATACTTTTAACACAAATTTTAGGCATAAAAAAGATTTTTTAATATGGAATCATGATTACCCTTCAAGAAATAAAATTATAATAGAAAAATGAGATTAAAAATAAAATAAAATAATTGAAACRATCATTTTTAAAAAGTACCAGAACCAAAACAAATACTTTAAAAGTACAGAAATTAAAATSAACTAAAGTTGAAAGTATATAGATTAAGATAAACATTTTAAAAGTATACAGATTAAAATAGACTAAAATGAACAAAGACCGAAAGCACGGTTAAAATAATATATTAAAAATGGTGTAAAAAACCCGATCGAACCGGAGACCAAATTAAACCAACCGAAGCAAATCGAAAATTTTGGTTTCCACGGTTCGTAAAAAAAAGAAAAAAGAAAATGGTTCTCCTCTTTCATTTGCCCTAGCCGACGTTCCCCTTTCTCTTTCTTCAATTCTCCCGGCCGCTTCCTCCACCGTCGCGCCGCCGCCGTAGCCGCCCGCCGCGCCATCTTCTTCTTTCTGTCGACAAGCCCGAACCGACGGTGTCATCTTTCAGATTTCACAAGCCAGTGCCATTGATTCTACTAAAATGGTTTCGAAGTCTGTAGCTTCCGCTTCTTCTGTTGTCGCCGTTTCTTCCTCAGCTCCGGCGAAAGGTAAGCTCTCGTCTCTGTTTACTCAGTCACCGAGAATTAGATCTTCGAATCCCCAAGTTTCGCCTGGAAGTTCTAGTAAACGGCCGCCTCTCCTCTCAAGACCACCCAAACCGACTGTATCACCGGAAGATTCGCCGGAAGAGTTAACTACAGGGATTTCGTTTCAAGACCGGCATCGGACGTTCCTACAGAATTGCAAGACAGGTAATGTTACCGCAGCAGAAGCATTACAATTCTTTGATCTAATGTTGCGTACAAAACCTACCCCTGCGATGTCATCATTCAATCTTTTACTTGGTGGGCTTGCTAAGATTAAGCATTATTCTGAAGTTCTTTCGCTGTATGATAGAATGAGCTTAGCCGGAATTTTGCCTAATTACATCACGCTTAATATTTTGCTTAATTGCCTTTGTAATGTGAATAGGGTGAGCGAAGGTCTTGCGGCCATGGCAGGGATTATTAGGAGGGGTTATATTCCCAATATAGTGACATATACGTCATTGATTAAGGGGTTGTGTATGGAGCATAGGATTAGTGAAGCGACGCGGTTGTTCATGAGAATGCAAAAGTTGGGTTGTACGCCAAATGTGATAACTTATGGGACTTTGATCAAGGGGCTCTGTCAAACTGGGAATACTAACATTGCACTTAAGTTGCATGAAGAAATGCTAAATGGGACAGGTAGATACGGTATTACTTGCAAGCCTAATGTTATTTGTTATAGTACCATCATAGATGGGCTTTGTAAGGATGGATTGGAAGATAAGGCAAGAGAACTTTTCGAGGAAATGAAAGCTCAGGGAATGCTTCCGGATGTGATTTCTTATAGCTCCTTGATTCATGGATTTTGTTATGGTGGAAAGTGGGAGGAAGCTAAAAGTTTGTTTAACGAGATGGTGGATCATGGTGTTCAGCCAAATGTGGTAACATTTAATGTGTTAATGGATATGCTTTGCAAGGCAGGAAAGGTTATAGAGGCTAAGGAGTTGCTGGAGTTGATGGTTCAAGGAGGTAATAATGCTCCTGATTTGTTTACTTATAATACATTGATGGATGGGTTCTGTTTGGTCGGTGACCTAAATAGTGCGAGGGAACTGTTCATTAATATGCCAAATAAAGGTTGTGAACCTAATGTGATTAGCTACAATGTGCTAATCAATGGGTATTGCAAAAATTGGAAGATGGAAGAAGCAATGAAGCTTTACAATGAAATGCTTCAAGTGGGAATTAGACCATCTGTGATAACATACAATTCCTTGTTAACGGGTCTTTTCCAGGCAGGCATGGTTGTTGATGCAAAGAAGCTATTTGGTGTCATTCAAGCTAATGGTCTGGCTCCGAGTTCAAGTACGTATAGTACTTTTCTAGATGGGCTTTGTAAGAATGACTGTTTGTTAGAAGCAATAGAACTTTTTAATGGGCTAAAGCCGTACAACTTGAAATTGAACATCGAAATCTTTAATTGCCTTATTGATGGGCTATGTAAAGCAGGGAAGCTTGAAACTGCGTGGGAGCTTTTTGACAAATTTTCTCTTGAAGGGCTTCTACCAAATGTTGTAACTTATTCCATCATGATCCATGGGCTGTGTAAAGATGGACAGCTAGAAAAGGCAATTGATTTGTTTCGAAAGATGGAAGAAAATGGTTGTACTCCTAACATAATTACTTATAATACACTTATGCGTGGTTTCTACGAAAATAATAAACCAGAGGAAGTGGTTGAACTTCTTCATAGGATGGTTAAGAAAAATGTGTTGCCAGATGCTTCCACTTGTACCATAGTCTTAGACATGCTTTCCGAAGATGAGAAGTATCAGGAATGTCTGAACTTGCTTCCAAGGTTTCCTGCCCAAGAGTGTCGAGGTTGATGAGAAAACACATATTGCTAGTCATAAGGGACTCTAGCTTGAAAATTGCTGATCAGTTCAATCCTCAAATTATGATGTTCGGAAATTTGAAGCCCTGTTTCCCTGGTTGCTAATAGTGTGGCTACCAAGTTTAAGTTGAGCAATTTTCGTGTTCTCATGATGAACATGCTTCGACTTCTGGCTATCGCATACATGTCTACCAGCAAGGTTCAGTATTCTTTTACTCTCATTCATGAGACAATGGTCTAGAGCCAAAGCCTCCTGGAGGATTTTGACTATCACAAATTTGAAGAGGCTGTTGTTTATTTTCAATTGTGTTAGATCTTGTGAAGGCTTTTTAATAGAGTCAACTTGTCGTTGGTTGAGACTTTGAGGCTACCAAATTAATGCGTCGAATATCTCATAAGTTTGTTAGACTCCTAAATTTACAAGGACAAGTGATAGACTGGTAGTGTTGGTGTCAGGTCCATTGTATATGGCAAGGGTGCAGGAGTTCTGGTATTTCTTTTTCAAATGAATGTTTATTTTTGGTTGAAGAAGGAGCCAGGTTAGTGAAAGCAAGACTAGCCACAAATCTCAGTATGGTGTACATATCAAGGTTCAAGTTATTCTCATCAAATGGAAGCAACTAGTTTTGAGCTTAGGGGAAGAGCAGGCTATGCTCTAATTTTGGTTTCAAAGTCCTAATATCAAGTCATGCTGACAGAAACTTGGACTTACGGGCACCCGGTTAAAGAAAATGCTTCAATCGGTCACTTGAATAAGGAAGATACACGGTAAAAGTGCAAAACACTCAGTTAAGGTCGCTTCTTCCCCTTCAAGGTATATAATCATTCTGGTTCCATCATTCTTTGGCGTGTGCACACACATATACATATGGAAAATTTTTGTACATATTGCCCTACATGTAATTCTGTGGCCAAGTTTTTGCGCGTTATATTGAAGATGGTTTGTAAATATTTTGTTCAGCACTTGTGCTGCTTCACTTTTCTGAATAACTGGGGTCGGATGCTCCATTATACTCAGGGGCATCCGCGTTCGCTGTAAGGCCCGCACCTGGGAGATATCAAGATTTTTTGGTATTAAGCTCATCAGAAGGTTCGAATTTTAGATCTCTAAGCCAGTATGATCAAGAAATCCCAAACTCTTGCCAAGCGAGATGCCGCTTGAGGGCTATTTGTACTGCTTCACTGGAACATGGTTCTTTTGTTTTCTACTTTTACTTTGTTTCTGTTAGGGAAGAAGGGGAAGTTGACGTCTTTCAATTATGGTATGGATTTCCAACAGTGCATTGGAGTATATTTTGTGTTTGTTATTTTAGTCTCAATTTTTTTAGAAAATAACCATTTTGATTTTGAAGCTTGATTCTGTCGTAATTATTTAACAGATAGATGACATAGACGTCGAATGTGTATTTACGCGTTGATGTGTGTATATTAAAGTGCTGATTTGAGGCGGGTAGTATGGTAACATATCTGAATTTTTATGTCCGTTCAAATTAATTAATGTTATATAATTTATTATTATAACAATTGAGTCATAATTGAAATTCAATTCCTCTTACTAGCTTGTGGATTCGATATATATTTGAAGTTGTGTCATCAATCAAAATCGATATGGTTATTTCCTTAGGGGTGTTTTGGGGCAAGGGAGTTGTTAAGTTTGAATTTCTTTAATTTGGATTTGTTTAATCTGGGAGTAAATTTGAGGAGTTAATAAGTTTAGAGTTGTTTAGTCTGTATTTGGGGTGTAGCGTAATAAGTCTGTAGTTGTGTAACTGAATTTTTTTAGCTGATTTTTTGGCTACAATTTTACTATGTTATATAATTATAGTTAGATTCCAATCATTTTTTCTGATTCATGAATTATAAAATTAAGATTTTTGATAAGATAATTTGTTTTTTTTTTTAATATATTTCAAAAGAAAAGCGTAACACTTTTATTTAATATTTTAAAAGAAAAATACAAATAAATAAAAATAAGAGATAGAAAAGTAATGAAAAGTAGTAAAAAATAGATGGATAGAGAGAGAAATGGGTGGAGAATGAGAAGAGAAAATAGATGTGAAAGGTGTAGGACCCACCTGAAGAAAGAGATAAGATATAAAAGGAAATAAAGTAAGGAGTTAGAATAGTATTTTTGGAGTTTGAATAACAAACGTGAAATAAACTTCATGTTTTTTAAATCCTCCCCCAAACCAGGAGTAAGAAAATCCCTCCAACTCCTCCCAACTCCACTCATCAAAAGTTCTTGCCCCAAACATCCCCTTAAGTTTAGAGCATAAAGTAGATATTTTGAAGTTAGATCAAAGTGGAATAAATCAAAATGTTTAAGGATCAAAATGAGATTAAACTTCGCGTTTGTTCACGTTAAGACCTTGGTTCAAGGTATATTTCTCTTGTGGAGTTGAATAAATCACTTTGTATGTGATCTTTTTCATTTTTTTTCTAGATATTTCATGTTCTTGTAAACAATACCGTAAAACAAAACCGCCCAAGTGGTAGTTCGATTGACAAGGACTTGGGGTCTCTTGATCAAATTGGTTTAGAAGTCTCAAGTTCGAACCTTCTGGTGAGTTTAATATAAAAAATTCTTTATGTCTTCCAGGTTCTGGTCTTGGAGTGGGCACAAGTGCCTCTTAGTATAGATGAGCAAAGCTCCGACTAGTAGTTACAAAAAATATATATAAATATTGTAAAACAAAGTGAAAAGCTTCTCTTCCCTATACAGATTTGATATTATTTTTGTTAGAAACTTATGATGCTTTTATTACACATGAATATTTACCCATTCGTCTATCAAAAGATTGGTTTCTTTTGGGCTGGGTAACTCATTTTCCAAGGCATAATTGATTTTTTGCTCCTCACTTGAGATTTCCATTCTCTCTTTGTGTGAAACAATCTTCTTATGAAGAACTTGAAAAATTATTATATCCACAGAAGAGATCTCAAATTGTTCAATTTTTTTCAAATTTTAATATACTTGAGAGGGAGATAGAAGAGACTTAAGAGCAGGAACGAAAAAAATGGACGGAGAGAGGAAGAACAATTACAGCAATTGGGAAGAGAGACCAAAAATCGGAGGAGAGGGAGAGAGAGAAAAAGAAAAGAAAAGAGAGAGAATTTCAAGCTTCCATGGACTCAAGCTTTTATCGATAGTATCCTTGCACTACTTTTTCTATCATGAACATATTCCTCTTATAATGCATGGCTTCCCCTCGATTTCAACTAAAATTCAAACTTCCAAAGTACCTTTTCTCTTCTAATTGAAACCATTTTGAATTTGACTACCACATGCGTGACACGTGTAACCTCCATTTTTACTACTCATCATCTAATCATACTTTGTCTTCATTTTAATGTCAGTATTCATTTTAATGGAGAAACAAACAGGGTAATTGTGTTTTGAAAAAATTTTGATAGTTAAGATTAAAATGAAACTTTTAAAATAATAATAGCGTAACTGAAACCTATCTCAAAGTCCATGAGAAAAATTGAAAACCTACCAACCTGTCATTTTTGCCTAGGCATACCACTATTTTTAAAACTGATTGTTACGTCAAATTTTCGTAATCATCATTGTTATGAGTAGGAAAAGTCATAGTCAACAAATAGACCTGAGAAGAGTACATGGAGTTGGCTTGCATTAACCTATTCTCCTAGGCTCGAGAATGATCCAAGAGTCGAGCCTTCGTACACGAATCTCTTAAACAATTAACATATAAACCAATAAAGCCGATGCCGTTCAAGGATCAAATGGGATCAAATGAGCCATGGGATGCGCTCAAGGCAAAGTGGTCGAGCTCCAAGCCCCATGGCCGAGCTTGGACCCAAATGGCCGAGCTTGAGGCTCATGGCCGAGTAGCCATAGTCTGTCGCTATCTTCTTAGTGTTTAGGGGAGATTATCTAGTCCTAAACGAAGGTCTCGAGAAGGGAAGAAACACAAAAGGAGAATATATCATCGTGATTTTAGGTTTTCCTCTCTATAAATAAAGAGAAAAAAGACTAATAATCAATAGACACCACAAAATCCTAATCCTTGCTACGTTTCATTAAAAACTCGATTATGACTTAAATATCGAACTGTGTGTAGCTCATATCGCACCACTGTGTAATCTTTCTTTGCTTTACAAGTTTAGTTGAATCTCTTCACTCTAGGAAGAGTTATGCAAATTTGGTAAGTTCATTCAGTCAAATTTATGCATCAACCATTTTAATAGAAAAGTTAGAAAAAAAAATTGTTTTGAGATTATTTTATTTAGGGAAATTGCAGTGGGCAACAAAAATCTTTTATGTACTTCAAAATATGTACCTGTTTTTTTAAATTTTCAAATATAATACAAATTTTCACTTATATCAATAGTATATATTAGATATTCATATCACTCTATCAGAAGTATATCACAAACTGATATTAGTAGTCATTATAATGTTTACTATTTTGCTAATTTTACTGAATGTTGTCCCTTTTATTTATTTATTTTGTTTTCCAGTAGATGGAGATAATTTAAAAAATTAATTTTGAATGTCAAATAGGAAATTAACCTTAACGCTGCACTTCAGTTGCACGAAGAAATGCTGAATGGGATTAGTCGTAAGCCTAATGTTTTTTGTTATAATATCATTGTAATACAACATGAAATTGAACATTATAATCTTTAAGTATCTTGGGTGTTGGCACAGTGGCAAGAGACTTTGGTCTTGACATTCAAGATTCAAGTTTGAGTCCCTCCTGTGTAGTAGTAAAAAAAAACATTATAATCTTTTAAGTATCCTTGGATGTTGGTGCAGTGGCAAGAGACCTTAAATTGTTGTGCACACTAGATTCGGTTGGGAGAGACTCCAACTCAAAAGAAAGTCGTTTTTTGAAGGTATGACGATTGGTATTTTGTATTACAAAAATCTCACAAAACAGTCGGGCCAGATCGGTATTCTCGATAGTTGTTGAAAAACCGTAGGATGAAATCAATTTTACCTTAGGTATAGAAACCGTCGGGCTAGACCGGTTTAGCCCAACAGTTTAAAAACCATCGGGCCAAATCTATTTTGCTTAGTGGTTGGAAATCATCGGGCTAGACCGAGTTAGCCTGATGATTCACAAACCGTCAGACTAAACCTATTCTAGCGGATGAATTTCCAAAAACCATTGGGGAGAGCCTTCCCCGATTTTTTTCGATATAGATTTTGTGTCGGGCAAAGTCTCTCTCGACGGTTTTAAGCGTCAGGAGAAAGTTGTATTTGGAAGTAATGGTAGAATTACTGATTTTTTTTTTAAAAAAAGAGATGTAAGTATAATGGATCTTTTCAAAATCACCACTTAAGAGTGTATTTGGACGTGATGGTGGAATGAGTAATTTTGAAAATATAAATTTAAGTATAATTGATTTTCTAAAATCATCCTCTGATGGAAATTCAAAATCAATTTAAAGTGATTTTAAAACTTTCTTAAAATCAAAATTTTCATTTGCCAAAAGAAGTGATTTTGACAATGACAAAAGTGATTTTGGCCATATCAAAATTACTCCACACACCCTAAGTGATACCTTAAAATCAATTTAAAGTGATTTTAAACTTTGTTAAAAAATTAAAATTTTAATTTATGAAACATGATAAATGAAAAGGGAAGTGATTTTAACAATAACAAAAGTGATTTTGGCACAAACATATCCTAGTATTTTATACCTAAAGTGATTCACTTACCATTTTTCTAAAAAACTAAGGTATGTTTGGAAGTGATGATAGTGATTTTGAAAAACATAGATTTAAGGGTTTGTTTGGGAACCCATTTCCATTGATTATGTTTGACAAATTAAAAAATTGATTTTAGGAAAACATAAAATCATTTAAAATTGATTTTAAGGTATCACTTCTAATGATTTTGGTAAATCTCTTTTTTCAAAATCACTCCTTCTACCATCACTTTTAAACACACTTTTAAGTATAATTTGATCTTTTAAAATCACGATCAAAGTGATACCTCAAAAATCAATTTATATCTCGAATTCATTTGTAGCGTGGAGCAGATGAGGTACCCTTATTGTTACTTTCTAATTTTAAAGAAATTTTTCTATTTTTGCAAAATAAAAAAAGCTCTTTTTTATAAAAAAATTTAAGTAAATAATTTAGGCTCTTTATTTTTCTTAAATGTAAATTATTATTTTTCTTAAATGTAAATTATAAACCATATATACTTTTTATAAATTTAAATTTTATCTGTAAAGCTTTTGAAAATAGGAAATAATAAGTCAAAGTGAGCATGGCTTAGCGGTAATTGGCATATACTTCCAACCAGAAGGTTGTGAGTTTGAATTCCCTCGTTTCAGTTTTATAAAATGTCGATGAAAACAAATATGTAAATTAACAAATAAACATTTTACTCCATTCAAAATTATTAATGTTCATATTAGTGATATATATATTTTGTTTATATTTCTTTTTTATATCTTATCGATTTTTTTTATATT